TGTATATGACAAGGTTCAAATAAGAGATTACCTATGTGTGTGTATGCATTTAGAATGCCACTGACAGTCTTGTCAAATGATGGACAGCCTCAAGTGTCGGTCAAGCGCACCTTCATTTAGCCCACTTATGCTTTTGTCAATTTGTCAAGTGTGAGTGGACTGTAATTTTGTGGTTTCGTTGCGGTGAATTTGAATAGAGTACTTGAGCTGCGCTGAATGCGCATTTACCTGGCCGTAAGTGTATGTATGTATAGTTTCCAATTGACCACATAATTAATATTAATTTAATTTGCTCAAATTAAAGGCAGCTTCTTGCTACCACCATGTGTGTGTATGTGGTGGTACAGTAGCTGGCTTTGTGCCGTGTGCCAGAATGTGAAACGCTTGAGCAAAGCGTTAAAATGCAACATATTTACGAAATGCCACATTTGCAATCGAGTGAAGCGAAAGCGCTGATGTGGCAACAGCTGGCAGCTGAAAAAGTAGTGGAACCCACGGCTTTGATCTTTTCGCTAACAACAATCGTAAATAAACAACAATAAATTGGCGACGAAAACAACGAAAAGTAAATCATGAAAAGGAAAATAATATTAAGATGAAACGGCGGCAATTTCATTCGTCAGCGCATTGTTTGGCACGTGAGCTCAAAGCGCTGAAAATCGCTGACGCCGTGCAACATGCGAAGTGCGACAGACAATATTTCGTAGGTGCATGTGTGTGTGTGCCTGCCTAGGCAACTCATCATCAGCAGGGCATCATACAAAAGACTCATTTGACTAATTCGCCACCATTAAACACATATACAAGTATATATATATATATATATGTATGTGTGCAACACCAATGCAAATATACTTACAGCAAAACACTTTTTTTCAAATTTCTGTATTTTGATCTCCGAAAGCACACCAATACTGTGAGTTGTTGTGCGACACTTTTTACATTTACATAGCTACTATATTCGCTAACTCAACAATCACCGCCTACATTGGTAGCTACTCTTTCGACTTTTGAGCCAGCCAACTTTACGGAAAGTAGTAAAAGGCTACAAAATGTCACCGACGACATTTCATTTTGCCAGATTTTCTTGAAACCATTTATAATTTTTTTCGAAACTTATATTCCACACAGATAATGCGGCAAATATTTTCAGTGATATTGTAAACTTAGTTATTGTTGTAAATAGCAAAAATCATGCGCAATGACTCGAGAAAAATTAATATGAACGAAATGTTCGAAAGTAATAAGAGAAGCAGAAGAATTATACATATAAGGTGGTTGCTATGTACATATATAGGAGTATATGGTTGTTGTTGTTGTATGGAACGAAATTACTAGTTTACCCTTTAGGCTCGATTCTTCTACAGATTCAAGTTTTCTGCTGATTTTTTAAACGAGTGTCTAGGCATTACTCTAGAAATTTCGGTTAGACACTTGTTCAGCTGCGTTAGAAGAAGATTACAACTTTTTCGCCTGTAGTTCAACCTAGGTAGATTTTAGTTTGGTTAGTGTAACCTACAAGGATAATTGCCACATAGGAATTTTTTACTCAAGACGCAGGTTTTTTTATGTGCAGAATTATCGTTGCGTTCGCTAGGCCTTCATATATAATTAATCACATAACTCCGCGCTAATGAAAAGGAAAGGGCGCCGTGAGCCGTTCGTCTGCATGCCATACTTCGCATAGTCAGTCGCTCCGCACTATCCGCGCATTGTCGACGTGACAAAAATGTTGCCTGATTTTGTCTTAATTAACGCCAAACGCTTGAATTGCAATAAAATATGTGCGTGCCGCATGTGGCACTCTCGGTGCTCTACTTGGTGTTGGCATGTGTGTTGCTATTGCTGCTGCTGCAGTTGTTTTTGTTGTTGTTTATAGCTGATGAAGTGCAACGAAAGTGGATGCTTTGGTGTGACACTGTGACAGCGTGACAAACACTTGTTTCAATTAATCGGCTTTGCTGCAAATGAGCGCCGTGCTCACTGACGTCGAGCAGCAGCGTTGCTTTGATATGAAAATCCCCACTTAATTTGGCATTTGTATATATCGTTGATTTGCCGGTTGTTGCCGGATTTTGTTTGTCGTCGATGCGCGTCATTCAACACTTTCAGCATTTCAGCGTTCACCAACGGCGGCAACAAGCGACAACATGCGATGCTCTCAACTTTGGCCCACTGCATCAGTCTGCGCGTGTGGGCCTATCAAGCGGCCGACAATTGGGGCGTGGATGGGGAGGAGACTCAGTCATATATGCCAATGAATGTGTTTGTGTGATTGGTGTGGCACATTTCACGCGTCATTCACACATTGGTTGCCGTTAAAATTTTCGCCTTTAATTGGACCACACGCACACCAGTCGAGCAGTGGCATTGCCCGTGATTGCGGATCCGGCCGTAAACTCGGCGTCAGATCAAATTCTTTGAAATGAATATTGGGCTGTTTGGTCGTGTCACTGAACTTCAAACCACCCAAATCGGTTTGACAAAAGATTTATCGTTATCATAAATAACGAAGGCAGCGGTGATTTCGTTGAAAGTTGTCATTATGGACCGAGCAGCACCCGCATACTCGACACATTGTGCTTTGAAAAGTAAGTTTTCAGTGCTTTTGTGAAGCCAAAAATAAATCCACAGCCGAGGTAGGTGGGCCGCTGACTAAAACAATTTCAGAATATGTATTTAAACAATTTATTCAAAAAAAGTGTCTCAGGTTAATAAAAAATTTACAATTTTTATGAGTTGCTCATCAAATTCATAATCTCAAAATATCTTTAGCGAAAATGCAAGTGCAAAAAAGTTGACAATTTACTTTACATTCAGCATTCGCTTCTGCCCCCTGCTTGGTGCCGCCTTTATTAGCAGCGTATTTGTGGCCACGTGTGTCGCTTTGTCCTGAGCTCTGCTATGGATATTAGTGAAATGATAAAAAATGTTTTCAATTTTCAGTATCCGATTTTCACGGTTGTCAGTATCGTTCTTTGCAACGATTAGCATTCCTTTGCGGTAATAATGGACGAGACACGTGCCCTGTAAATGAGCCATATCATTTGATGGGCGGTGTGTGCCGCATTGTCTTGTCTTTCATTGAGGGGTGGAGACAATCAACGGTACATATGTGCTACCAAATTGTATTCACTTAGAAATTGCTTCATGAATATGTCATGGGAAAGTAAACGCTTTTACTGTTGCACCAATAAAGTTTGAAAACAATCATAGTGATTTGTTGAATATGATGGAAATAATGACATATACCATTTGAAATGTAGCTTGAGCTGCGATGTTGAAACGTTTCAAAAAAAAAAAAATTAATTCAAGAAAATGCTCGTATAAGGTGATTTCTTACTAAACGATTCGGAAACAGAATTGATATGATGGAAAATTGTTTTTGGCTGTTGTTTTGGTTTGTTACTACAAAACTTAACATTTTTGTATATTATATATTTGGCATACTGATGACAGAAAAAATGTATATATATATTTGCTTTGATACATTGGACCTGAAACTGCTAAATACCACAGAAATATGAGATTTCAATTCATATGTGAATGATTAAAAATAAAAACTAATAAACCCAAAAAATATACATACATTGGGGCCTCTTAATTGCTTATGCATTTTTCATAAGTTCATTATTAAGAAGATGCCTATCAACAAATTCATAGAAACGACGATACGAGATGCGGATAGTGAAATCAGCATCATTAATTTGAATGCGCATTAGTGTGTGTTCAAGAGTTTTCCAGCAAACGACAAACGAACGTCAGTTGTTGGCTGTCAGAAATCATAAGCAAGATCACTTGTCAGCGCGCTGCGAGATGACAGGCAAACAACATCTGTAAGCTTTATTGGAAACAAAGCGGGTTAGGAGGGGGGGAGTCGAAATTAGCTAAGAGACAGCGTGGTGAGCACTGTGTTGCATGATTTTCGAGATGCGATAGTTATTTCTAAAATTGTTGAGAATGTCAAATAAACAAAATATTTATTAATGAAGTTGTCAGTATATGCGTCAGTGTCAAGTGGCTAACACAGAGAAAACCAAAAAATGAGGAGCAGATCATTAAATGCATGCAATCCTAAGAAATCATTCAAGTGATGAAATTAAGTATGTTTCAAAATGAGAAACGAGCGTGAATATTTACTTCTACGAGCGCTCATTGACACTTCATGCCGTATACAATTTGTTTTTTCTTTTACAAAAATGCATGTAAGAATAACTAAAAATGATCAGGCGTCACTCCTTATAAAGTTCCCCATTTGCTTTGCCAATTTACACTGCAGCAATAAATTGATAATTACTCGCTATTTGCAACACTAACTACACTTTTACACGAGCATTTCATCGCCGTTTCTATTTTATCCTCATGAGTCATCGCATAATCACCGAGTGATCGATCGATCCATCATCGTCTCATATCGAGCGCAGTTATGATAAGTCATAATTCGTTAGAAAATAGTTATTAGACATTTGTGTGCGCACGTATTCACCATTTAAGTGCCAAAATAACAAAAACCTTTCGAAACCATTGTTATTTGCGCTTAGAGCTAGTAAACGCCTGGAGCAATGCCAGCCCCCCACGAACGCTGGTGAGCGTATAGCGCTTAGAAAAAATCATAAATCCGTGACTGCATTGTTTGCGAGGTGTGAAAATATTCAAGTCGCTATACATAAAAATTGTAAGCTTACGAGTACAAAACTGTTGATCGCTTCGAAAATTATGATTAATGATCAATCAATCCAGCAAGTGAATATGCGAACGGTGTCGAGTGAGCGGCGATCGTCGAAACAAAATGTGGGCGATAAAACCTGAAAGACACACAAAAAATGCCACAAATTGTAAATGCAGACCTTATAATTCAGCAACACATAAAAACGGCTTTGAATGCAACAAGTTGTCCTTTCCCCACAAAGTCACACATACGCGCATTTCGGCTTTACTTTATTATATTTTAAGATTTGTGTTTTCACCTTTTATGCATTCAATAATAAAAGTCATTTCTCGAGGCGCAGTAAAAAATTTATTAAATACATTTTCAGACCCGCAAACATAGAAGTGTGTACATGTGTATATATGTCTAGAAATTATGCTCGCAGCACTGATTGTACGAGCTATTTCGACGGCCTCAAATCTACCAAATTATGTCCGATAGCCAGCGTGATCAATCAAACATGCAGATGCGGATATCTGGCTGATGTGCGTGTAGTGAATGCGCATGCGCTTGTGTGCTTTTGTGTGCTCACTGTGGGCATTGTGGAGCGCGCAATAAAATGTGACACCTACTGTTGAACAATGAAATGATTTGTGGATGCCACATAATAAAAAGTCTGCCGTGGAATGCTGCGGACATGCATTCAACACGCAATTACGTACGCTTGTAGATGTGTAACCAATCGCGGGGCAAACGTAATCTGCAAGAGAAATTAAAAAAAGGTTAAAATGATGGAAAAATATTTTTATTGATAATAATTAAAAGCGGTGAAGTGATAAAATTTTAATTTCTTATGTAAGTTTTTCTGTGAGTTATGTCGAAAATCACATAATTTATGTCGTAAAATGGGTTTCGAGAAGCATTTATGCATTCTAATGCACAACAATAATAAAACTGGTTGAAGGAAAACTAATCTGTAGCTGAGGAATACCAAAAAAGCGCTTTCCTTCATCTGTAGGTGTGAGATATATTAAAGTCAAATAAACTTTGCTGCATAACAATAGAATTAAGCAAGAAACTTGGTTTCCTTTTTAAAACGGTTCTTCTAGCTCTGTGCCTATTGCATTATGTATTTTTAACTGATCATTCTTGATCAAATTCTATAGCATTAGTTGCTTAAAATTTTATCTAGCCAATATTCCGATCAGATGTATGTGAAATATATTGTTCTGCTCATTTCCTAATTTTTACAGCCTGAACAGGATATATTAAGTTTGCCACGAAGCTTGTAACACCCAGAAGTATACGTCGGAGATTCTATAAAATATATATATATAAACCATAAATGATCGACAAGACGGGATGAGTCGATTTAACCCTTTCCGTTGGTCTGTCCGTCCGTCCGACTGTCTGTGTATACCCGAACTAGTCCCTCAGTTTTTGAGTTATCGATCTGAACTTTTCCACCTGTCTTTTTCTCAACAAAAAACTGCCGATATCAGATCACTATAGGATATTGCTGTCATACAAACTGAATGATCAAAATCAAGTTCATGTAAGGAATCTTTTGTACTTGTGAAGCATATTATAGCTTCTTTGCAACCGAACTTAACGTTTTATATTGTACTCAGTTTTTGAGTTTGCAACAGTTGGTAACAGGGTCTGCTATAATGCCCTATTTTAAGGGTATTTAAAATGAGTATAAAATTCCGCAAAACAAGTCAGCTGCGTATTCGAGTAGCCTGTTAATTGGCATTCTGGCCTTTCATGTGCAGTTTTGTGTTGAAGAATTAAGAGATAGACAAGTTGCGTGCAAAATTTCCATTGTCGGATAACTTTGAATGTCTTTGCAAATTAAGTATCATTCGTATGTTGGATTGAGTTGACTTGTTTCTGCCAATTTACATACTTACAACTGTCCATGTTGTCAAATGGACAGGCGGAGTATATTGCCAGCTACTTAACTTGTAGCTTGACAAAGGTCCTGAGGCTAGTTCACAGTAAAGCGCTCTTACATAAAATCATATGGCATGTTTAAGCCATTATGAAAGAGACTGTTAGTGTTGCCTAAATGGTACAGAAGTATTGATATGAACATGCATGGTTGGTGTTGAGTTCAATTTATATTGTTTGGTTTATATATAGAGTAGTCATGAAAAGAAAACTCATATGTATATTTTCAAGTATTTCAAGACAATTAAATGTTACAAATCACTTTTAGTATTGATGTGAACGAAGCATTTTCTATAGTGTTATAATTTATATATATTTATTGTATGTATCAAGACATTTTCTTTAAATACATTCATTATGCGTTCATTTCCTTTCTCAGTGTTCTCTACTTCTCGCATTCCGCTGTTAAATGCTGAAATTTCATTTTCCTCACCGCTATTTTGGCTTTATGCGATGACCGTATATAATATTTTGCCACCTTTTTGCATTTTTTACACACCTTTTTACTTTATAGCCAGCACTTTGGACAAATTAAGTCCAGGAGTGTTGCTGCCGTTGTCGTGTCCGGTCGGTGTTGCCGGCAGGTAATGTGAGCGAATTACGCGCGTCGCACTCGGCAACACTTGGCCGCGATGCAGCGCGGAATTTCGTTGCCAAATTACAGGTCGGCGCGTTTAACTTTGAGGCTAAGAATCGTGCGCAATAAACATGAAAATTGATCATATTTCTGGCGCGAATGGGCGCTGGCAACACGCGCCGTCACAACAGCGGTGCCTTGCACCACAACACTCGCACAACTCGCACAAACGAGGCGTTGCAAACACGGTGCGCGCAGAAGGTGCCGAACGGCCGAGTGAAGGAGAAGACGCATTGCTACTGCTCTATAGCTCTTCAGATGCATGAGCGCATTTAAATAAGCACACACACACACACATCTACATGGTTGCGAAGGATAATCAGCTCGAAAGCTCTTTAAGGGGCACAAAGGAACGCATTGCGCGACTGCCGTCGTCTGCTCTGTTATTAAATATATTATTTCAATTAAAAACGAAAAGTGAAAATGTTTGCAAGCACATGTGATATGCATAGCTATTGCCTGCTTTACGAGCGCATTTATGGGTTGTAAAGGAGGTGAGTGTTTTCGTGCAACAACCGTGGACGTTATTAAATTTTTGCGTTGAGAATTGGCACAAAGAGCAAAGTTAATTAACATATGAAGGAGAGTGGTAAAATAAATGCTTTTAAAAAATATTATCACATTCGTTTATTGCCAAGTTACAGTTATAACAGTTAAGTATATAGTTATGCTTTATTTCAGTAAGCCATATTTTTAATGTGTTAAGGCGGCATATGGTAAATAGGGCAGCAGGCGAGTTATACCATATATTTTATTTTAATTTTTTCAGTTCTCGTCACAATGCAAAATGTTTATATGCAACCACTAAAACCGATAAGAAAATACTATAGCAAAAAAGAAATAAAAACAAAGAAGTAATTAAAATTCTTGTAACAGCTATTTTTGGGTACACGGCCAGTTCGATGTATGAGGTTTGCACTTCTCTAAACGCTCAAATAATCGCATGACGACTCTTGTTTATGGAATTTTAGAGTTTCCAGTGACACCTTGGTTGCAAGTAGGTGGATATTTGACCGAGTTTTTGGAAGATTTCTTTAAGAAGTTACACGGGTTTCACGGCTTCAATTTAAATTTTTTTTATTCTTTTATTAAACTCTATAACATCTCTAAAATATTGTTCTGAATTCTCAAGTTGACAGCAGTAATAGTCTTGGAGATACAGCTTTAAAAATTTGCGCGCTTGAGGTCAGCTATTGTATATAGTCACTTAAAACTTTGAATGAGTTTTTCTCGAAATATATGAAAAAAAATTATTGAAAATAGGGCGTTATTTGTTAGACGTGACCCATCGAACTCCTTAAGTGCCTCAGGCCATATCTCTTGTTTGGAGTAAAAGCTTTTCCCTTTAAATTTTTCGGTAGCTATGATTTGAAATCACGACTCTTCAAATCTCAGCATAACGCAAGGAGAGCCTGGTAGAGTCTGTTAAAAAGAGCGACTTAGGTTGTAAGGTATTGTTGACAACTTCCCTGCTGTTTATGATATACTGGAGCTCTTTTATAGATTAGGCTTAAGTGAGTTATTTATACTTATACTAATAGATTTCTCCTATGTCCATTTAATTGTATGTAGTTATGTTGGACGTCAAATGGTTGCTGTGGTCGGTTTATGCTAAGCAATTTGCTAAAAACGTTGCTCATTGCTGTGAACACAATTACACGAGAGTTTCATAACATTTCAAAAATTTTGTGTTTCTTTCGAAAATGTTCCATTATTACCACAAATAGCTGTGATCGCCTGTCCTAAACAAATTTCGCATGTTGCTCACCTATAAGGCTGCCGACAACAAAATTACAACTTCAACTGTTGAAACGACTAATCGCATTGTGCGCCGCTGTCGGTCTTGGCGCTTGCAAGTCAAGCAACTTGCGCTTTAGAGATTTTTAGTAGATAAGCAGTCCGCTTACATACATATTTTTATTGTTGTAGTTGTCACATAACTTAAATAGACGGCTGGGTGGTTTTGTGGGCTCAAATGAAATGTGAAGTGGTTTGCCAGCGCGCGAGCAAATGATGGATTAGGCAGCACTGTGCTAAACATATTTCTATAAATGTTCATACACCTGCATGTATGTGTGTGTTTTTTTTTTTTTTTTTTGAAAATGGTGTTATGTAAGTCGCATAGGTGGCCTTTATGAGGTATGGACAATAACGTGCCACCGCCACTGCCGACACCACGCCAACGCTACCGGCGGCAAGCATGCAATCACGGGTTCTTGTTCTGCGCCACTGAAAGGGTGCGCGCAAGGACACAGTTACTTAGCCACAAATTATATGTCAAAGCACATACATTTGTGTGTATGGGAATAATATTTTCCTTTTCATTTGTACTTATTTCAACAGCAAATTAACATGCAATGGAATTTCCCTTTTTGTTGGAAGCTTTTCATTTTTGTTGCCTTTGTGTCATCGCTGTTGTTTTGTTGTTAGGTGTTAGGTGTTAGACTCATATACAGTTTTTTGTTTGCTGTTTTCACTGCTTTTGCGACATGCGATGTTTTGTTGTTTTCATAATAAGTTGCTGATACTATGCATTAGCATGTGATTTCAGCAATTTATGTCTTTTATTACGTTCGAGTAATTCACACATACGTGTGGAAATGTGTCGACCAAGCAACACTATTCGCTGCTTCTACTTACCAAGCTATTACGAAAACTTTCTCATATCTCATAATTATGGGAGCGTTCGCACATTTCACGCATTTACAACGGCATAAAGCTTCGATATAAAACGAAATGCAAATGCAATTGAAGACGATACGATTTTTCAAACGTAGAATGTCTGCATAAATCTAGAGTGCCGCTGAGTCGTACGGAAGCTTCCAACTTACAATTTTTCGTGTAAATAAAAATTGCAAATATCTACTTTATATTGCTGCAACAGCAAACACTTTGCATTTTCGCAATAAACGAAATTGCGTAAAACATATTTTTTAATCGCTTTACTTCATATGTTCATATGTATTTTTTTTCAACTTTAGCTTACTGCTGTAAAATTTACAACTGACCATTTGTGTTTGTAGCAATTTCATAGCTTCACACTCCCTTCGAAATTCGTTTGCTCTTGGCTTTAGTTTGAATGCGTGGTACAACAGTAAAAGTTTTATAATCCTTATAAATTAATTAATTTGCCGTATCTGCGTTAATTCCGTCTCAGTTTTCGCTCTTTCACCGCTTCTCAACATTGTCGCCGTTGCCTTTGGCGCATGTTTATCACTACTTTGATCGCCCCCCTCTGCATACAGGCTGTAATATGCGCTGGAGTGTACATATATAGATGGTAGGCAGCTGCAACAATAAAACTTGTTAATTATCGTGGGCCGTTGTAGTTGTTAACATAGCTTATTATTGTTAGTATAACATTTTATTATTTTATTGTTATTACCAAAGGTATTTTTGTTTCAATATTCCTATTTGAAGTCATGGCGCAAGTTGCCGATAGTTGTGGACCGCGGCTTGCGCCAATAAAATATGGTAATACAGTTTGTACTGTAAGACCCCTCGTATTACTGAATAGTGTAAGTACCGTTTCTAATAAGCGGCTAGAAAGCGTATTTTGATTCGAATAATTCCAGAAAATGTAATTTCTATATTCTTCCTGATGGTTTGTTTTGGATTTTGATTTTGAGGTTAAGTTTTATTTTAGTTCAAAGTTTAGTTCTGTTCACTTCTGCTAACTTTGCATATTATGATTGTAGAATTCATGCAATCTTAATTACCAGTTGAGGCTTAATATTAAGCAAGTTTAAAATATTGAAGCTTGAAACTTAATTTTAATAGATTTTCGCTTATAGAAATAGCTTTTAGCTTATGGAAGGAATTTTTATAAACACAATTTAACATACGTAAAGTATCAGTATACAAATTGCCTGTTTGGTATTTGCATAGCACACTTAGCTCTTCAAGTCTCCACTATACATACACATTTTAACTGTGTCAGCATGTTGAACGTCGTGTTAAAAAACATGTTCGCAATTAAGTGATGTCCTGCAGTGCGAACATTGTTATTGTACATTCCACTTGGTGGCGCCCTCCTCCATCCTTCTCAGTCTAGTATAGCATTTCTTGTACATACCGATAAACAAACAAACCCTAAATATATGAAATATGCCTTCGCGCTCGCTGAGCCAGGGTGTCTGTAGCAATGGATTTGTCTCCTTTAGCTTCGACATTCTTCTTTTTGTGGCACTTTCTTGTCGTTCGGTCGCACATTGCGTGTGGGGCATTCAATTGCGATTGTGACTGTGGCAGTGCGCATGCGCCGTATGCAAAGCGCTTTGCTAACAAGTGAGTGGTAAATATGGCTTGAATGTATTTGTAGGCATATATATATATGTATGTGTGTACGTTGAAACAAGCACATCTCACCTGGCGTTAACACAAAGGTTGCACGTAAATGACCCAAGTTATCATAAACATGTCAAAAGTTGTAAATTAAGTGCGCAGCATGCCACCAAAACAACGGTAACAACCAGCAACGAAGCAAAGACAGTCCCAACTAAATTGTGGCAGAATTTTGTATATGAGGTCATTCGTAATGTGCTTGTTGATGACCGTTGAACGCCTTACTAAATGGCCACCTTATTTATATGAAAACATGTTTGTCGGTTTCTGCGCCTAAAAGTCTGCTTGGTGGATATGTGGTGTGCTAGTTTGTTTAGTTATTTCAAGTACTGAGAAACTGCACGCTTGTTGCCAGCAAACATAAAGTAATTTCAGTATCGCGCGCGAAAAATTTCAAATTATTAGTATTTACTTAATTATTTGCAGTCTATGATATTTGAAGTACTTTAGTCGGGTTGTACTTCATAGGCACCAGTACACCACAGATACACAAACCAAACATTCGCGCTAAATATGAATAATGAAAAAGTTAGCGCTAACAAAACTTAACTACCGTAAATTAAGCGAACAATTAATGTAGCTGGGTGTGAGGAATGGTGACCCTTTCGTGCCTACATAGCGGTGAGCTTGCACGCGAAAGCTTTTGCCACCAAAATAACACAATAAATGCCTTTCAACTGCCACCAAGTGTTGATGTGCCAAAGTTTGATACCAGAAATAGATTGAGTGACAGCATAAAATACATGCAATGCGTTAAATTCCACTGAAACTATTGAAAAACGAAAAAAGTAAAAAAAATATATACTCAGCAACTCATAATAGGTAAACTACGCTTTTGTAAGCGGAAAATAGAAAAATAATGGGTGCGCCCACATTCTAAACAGAATAAATGTACTGCTTAGATATTAGAGTGATATTTGTCCAAGCCTCTCACTCTCTTTTGTGCGTTATATTTAGAGTTTACGCTAAAAGTGGAGTGCTTTGCCGTTTACGAGCTGCTGGGCGGCTTAAATTTCTACACATCATTAACCAACGAATAGTAGCTGAGCACCCAATGCACTACATATGCTTCGCTAGAGGAGTCGCGAATATACAAATTATAAATACATATATATTCTTTTATTTCGTATTTTAATTTCGTTTTATTGCATTTGAGTTAATAACAGCATTAATTCTAAATTTGTGTTTTTTGATAAGCGTTTGCACCCTTTATTCAAAACAATTGTGTGTTTGTGTTGTAAAATAATATACATATATAATAATAACCTGAATATTAGCAACAATTCATTGTGGCTACGAGCGGAGCACATCAAAGGACGATGCAATCAAATGGAAGGAGTGAATTTGTTAATGCGTTTTTATAGCGCGTGTGCCATCCCCACTGCCATTATCATTACCAAGGCTAACAATAGCGAATGTGCTAATACCAAACGTGGTATGTATGTGTTATGCAGCTTATAATCGCTTCAAATGTGTGTGTTTGAGGCGCAGGTGGTCGACGAACGGCGAGAAAGGGTTAAATGTGTTTATTTGTTTATGGGATACACAGCAGGTTTTGTTATTCCGAGTTTATCGCAAGTAAAACAGTTATTAGTAGGCGAAATTAGTGGGAAATGTTGATTGTATGAAAGTGTGTGTTTTTGGGTAATTCCATTGTTGCATGAATTAATGCGAAACTCGCATGTTGACAGCGTATATGTGTTCGAAAATTATTGTTTCACTCGCTTTGTGAGCCAAAGTCGCTAACAACAAGTGCCGAAAACGCATTTAGTATCGAATAATTATGCATATCCAATGGCAACTTGCTGTATCGATTGGAAAAAATGAGAATCCGTAGCTACCTTTTCGAAAAAAAAAGAAGAAGAATTAGGCTATTAAACTAGATTTAGAAATTTCTGCATAGAATTCAAGATATAACAAATTCAACAACAAATTAGTAACAAATCCTAGCAGTGCAATAATTAATTCAAGAAAATTTCAAGGTTATGCTCGTTGACAAAAAAGTTAACTAGTCTCAAGCAATGAGCGGTCTTTTGCAAAATTATTCTCGTCACTCTCAGCGGTTGTAAATTTGTTTGTGTGTCTATAGCAACAATAATATTGCACAATTTCTGGGCGCAAAAGATGTGCAACGAAATTCGTGAATAATCTCTTCATCGGCTCACACACAGACATCTCAGTTACTAAGCAACCACATAAACAACACATTTAATCATACACTTATGGAAAACAGTTATCTTTGCTGTCATTTTAATGAAGTGTGTTCACACAATATTTAATCATCTCTGTACATTTCCTCCAAGTAATTCTTCACTGCCGGAACAGCATTTCCTCACCATTGTCAAGCCGCATAATTAACACAATTGACAACACATGCAGAAAGCACACACACATATACACTAATATGCAGTTAGCAGCATAAAGTTTGTATGTGTGTGCATGCAATAATTTTTGCATATTTAATTGGATACTTACATGTTGCATGTTGTTTGCCCCATTACATTGTCCACTTGCCGCAAACACTGTCGACTGTTGACTGTTGGCTTTTTATTAAGTGCTGTAATAATTTCTTTCCTCATTTCTTGTGCCACATCTTGCAACAGGCATAGGTGCATAGGTACTTGTTGCACTTGCTTCTGCCCGTTTGTTGCACATATTAATTGTGAGCGCTATTTGACAGCAGTCACTTGACTTGTATCAAGTCGGCATTCAAGTGTTGCCACCTGTCATAATCGCCTTGCAGAATAGTGGTAAATTTGCATTTGCCTTTGCGGCTTTTTCGCTTCAATTAATAAGCAAGCAATGAGTTGCCGCAAGCGCTGTAGCGCTGTAGCGCTGCCGCTAATAAAGTGTGGTGCAAAACTAAAATTTACAAAATTACAACAATTCCATATCTGTTCGGCTGCTCTGGCTCCCACTCTTAGTTGCATACATAGAGACATTTCCACAACTACGCGCACGCGTAACGCCGCTGACTTAGTCTGCGCGATAACTGTAGTGAACCTGTTTTCCCCCATTTGGCGCATAGGCATTGTCCTATCTGTGTTGCAAGGCGGCAGCTCTTAAAGTCAATCGGCAAGCGGGGTTTTGTGTTGCCTCAACTCACACGAGTTGTTTCTTACTTTGTTTGCACTCTGTTTTTTTTTTATCTGAAACGGAACCGCAAATTATTTTAATTTGCGTTAAATAAGCATTGAAGTGGGAAAAATATGATGAGTGGCTCTGAGCGGTGTGCGCAAAGTGGCGGCAACATTGGCGCAAATTCGATATTTGCAATGGAAATTCATCGTACACAGGTGTGGAAAGCTCAAGCGAAAGCCTTTGCGCTGCGTTGCATATGTGCAGCATTAACAACTACAACAACAATGCTAATAACAACAACTGTGATAAATCAAGTTTTGCTGCAATACGGTGAGACTTTTTCTACGCGTTGCACATTGTACAAGTATGTTGCATGTTGCGTAGTGGAAATTAGCGCGCATTTTAGCGCCACTTGTACGCACCCAGGTGTTAGAGTTGGCTCTAAGCTCGTGCAGCGTTGCGGCAATTAATGTTGCACGTTGTTGGCTAATTGCAGTGACAGCAAACCTGTCGATTGCTGCAAGCCAGCGTCCAGCATTTCATACATGCAACACGAGTCTGCTAAGTAAGTCAATGCGAGTTCATATTTCTATGACTGCAAACTAGTCACAGAGTACAGTTACATAGCATATACGAGTATTGAGCCAGAACTTCCTCACCGTTTCCGCTCCCACTTATCTGCCGTGCAGACCACCCAAAAACCTTATCTTCAACATTTTCAACACGGGTTTCCAATTGTTCATCGTTTAATTTAACCCTTTTTCTTTTCTGCTCGCTTGTATTTTGATTGAAAAATTTGTATAACAAACGGTCAGCCATCCTAAATGGTCACGAATGGTGTCAACATCGAATATGTGAGCGATTGTTCAAGTCGCTTGAATTATGATAGCAATTTATTTAAAATCAACAATGACCGAACCTACTTAGTGAATGGTCAGAAGGCGCGCACTTCACGCCACACATAAGCAGAGATGGCAGCGTATAAAAAATCGCTATTAATAATACTTTTCAATTTATCAGCATCCGCACACAAATGATTATGAATGAAGTAAATGAATTAGTCGGCGGTTAAATTTGGAAAACAGTAATAAAAAAATCTAAAACACACAAATACAAATTCATTCACAAAAATACGAGAAACGTTTGTAATTGTATGCACACACACACGCACACGCACATGTTTCTGTAAAAGTAGTGATTAAGCTCAGAATGTGCTGAATTGAGGCGCAGCATGTGGCCTGCAGCAGCCAGCGTGGGGACACATTTAGTCACAATAAGTGAGTAATACCTGTATTTGAAGGTGATCACACAACTACCTATATATGTATGTAGTTATATATACTTTATATATGTACATACGAAATGTATGCTATATTCTGACTAAACGTGAATAATTGCAACGCCGATTCTCTTAAACTAAAATAGATTCTATTGAAAATGTTATGCTTTTAAATCTCCAAATAATTTCCTTAAATAAAAACTAAAGCTAATTTTTGGAGCGATGTCTAGAGCAGTAGATCTGTGTTCAGAAGAGCGAAATAATTATTATTGATAAATTAAGATTTTGTATGAAAACGCAAGTAATAATTAAAATATATATTTGCTAACATGGCTACTGTTTGTCCATCTGTCCGTCCGTCTGTCTGTATATATGCGAACGAGTGCCGCAGTTTTTAATTTATCTATCTGAAATTTTGCACACGTCCTTTTCTCATCAAGCAGCTGCTCATTTGTCGGAACGGCCGATATCGGACCACTATAGCATACAGCTGCCATACAAACTGAACAATCGGAATAAAGTGCTTGTAAGGAAAACTTTTTAATTTCATGAGATATCTTCATCCATTCTGCATGGATTATTGTTCAAAGCAACGATACAATCTCAGAATAAAATTTTCAGATCGCGTCACTATAGCTTATAGCTGACCGATCAAAGTGCTTGTAAGGAAACTTTTGTATTTGCGAAGGGTTGTCATAGCTTCGGTGCAACCGATGTTAATATTTTTCTGTTGTTAATATCATTTTTCATCTGCAATCCATCGAATCACGTGAGCTGAAATGCCATTTTTCGAAATTCTTTATTAGTTTTACACTTGTTTTTTGCGCCTTTTTCAACGCTGCTTCTTATTTGCGTCACTAAAATCGCTCGCTTTGCTCACACTGCTGCCTATCAGCTATTCAATCTGTGCCGTTTTTGTTGGTGTTGTGCTTTTCACTGATCTTTTCTTTGCGCTTTATCGATTACAGCTAATCGTGATTAAGTGCATTCCATTTGTTGCCACACTGCTGCCACAAACAATGCTGTTGCTTAGATTCAACGCGCTAAGCAACATGTTGCACACTCATGCTCACGCTTTAGCTCGCGCCCCACACACCATGAATGTGTAAGTGTGTCCGTTAGTGTGCATGGCTGTGTACACACAGCAGCTTAGAGGCTCTGACAGTCGAGTGGAAGACAAATTAATCGCCACGATCAATTCCGCAATGAGCGCACTGACTGCCAACATTGCCTGATATCGATCGCTTACTCAATGCAAACCAAAAGGGGCAACAGCAATAATTATGGGGGAATTTTGTCAACTCATGCAATAAGGATGCTGTGTGGCGGTGTGTGCGGCATTATGCTTGTCATGCATCAACAACAACAAATATTGATTGGTTACGAATATTCAGTGTTGAGCCACGTTTATTAGCTTTGCTGTTGTTGTTGTTGGCACCGAAATATTTTGCCGTTGCTACCCCGCCTGTATGTCTAACAGCAAAGCGATTAGCTCAAGTGTCAGCCGGTGTTTTGTTGTTCCACTCACTCGGTCGTCTCTACATCTCTGGGCCGAACGTCCGTCCGTGCGGCCATTTGATGGTTCAACGCCTGTGTCATTATTAGCTGCGTTCACTTACATGTTTTTGCTTATTGTTTGGGCCGCTTTTGTTGTTTTTGTTGTTTTTGTTGTTAAATGGTTTGTCTACATTTTGGGCGCTCGCGCTGCAGCTAATGTTGCAACAATGACTTGATAAAATGTGGCTGAAAAACACTTAAAGCCCTCAATTGACCAATCGAGCCATAAAGACAGTCTTCAAAGCGTAAACCCAGATTGAAATGTAATTCGTCATTAAACTACGCGTTAAAAAGGGCACGTGTCAAAGTTGCGTGGTTGCACTTAAGTGCTTGTGTTTGTTGTGTTTTGCGTATTGAATATTGAGTGTGAGTCCATTAGATTGCGCGATTAGATATGCGTTTGTCTGTTTCCACCAATATTTGGCATTATTCCAAAGAAGCTAAGTTTTTAATTTTTGTTGTTGTTGTCGCTGGATTTTTTGTAAACTATTTTCCTAGAGATAAAGTATATATATACACAGCGGTATATTTAGCATTAAGCTGTTAATTCAAATATAAATAAATGACGTGATCGATGCATCATTTTTTTATTGAATTGATAGTAGTGAAAGTAGACGACATCGCATATCGTATCTTGCCTTTCATACAATTTGATCAAGAGATCTTTGCGCCAGTAAAAGCAACGAAGCATGCAATATAAAATGAAGAAGAAAAATAGGTCTCTAGTTTCCTACTACAAGCCGATGTGTGGCCGATGTGAAAGGAAAAATGTAATTTTTATATGGTCAGCGGACACAAATTTTCCTACTTATCAACAATTGGTATCCTTTCATAAGACAATTGGGCTTTTCAGCATTTGCGCATCACAAAGAACTCAATTCAACAACTTCTTTGTCATAGCAGGTCTAGAGAAAGACTCCTTGCTACTGGCAAACTAAAAACCTCCTGACATAGTAGTTCATCCAAAGGGAATCAATGTGTTTATACATGAAATATGGCACATACTTTCCATGAGAACCACGAAGAATATTATATCATAAAGAACAACAAACAGCTTTTAAAATTTTTGATGAGTCTAATTGCGATTAAATTAATTATTTTCGATGTTTGGAAACTGTTAGCAGATCTAATTCGATGTTTTCGCTTTCTCATAGTGAAATATCTGCAAAATGTGCTAAAAGTCTTTCGAAGTTTATATTTCTTAGATTTAAGAAGATTTAAGATTAATTTAACCAAATTTGTTTAGTCAGCGCGTAGAAATATATCTTCGTTATATTTTTGCGTGCGAGTTCTACTAAGAGAGAATTTTTCAGCACAAATGACAACTTCTCGTGAACATTACTCTTGTATATTTAGGTTCTCCACATCATTTTTTGAGGTCCAGTAATTAGTATCACTACATACATATTCTAAACACATTTCACAGTTTTTTCTTTTTCAATTCAAATACTCAAACTTTGTAATAAGTACTCGCAAATACTCCACTCAAACTCACCACTTATTCCATGAATGTCTCACGTTATTTGGACACTCTTAGAAGTAGTCAATTTGCCGACGGTGCATACACTTTCAAAGTTAAAATTTTCCTCAGTAAGTTTTATAATAATTTTGTTCAAATCACAAGCATTTTGTTGATTTAAAAAAATAGCAACAACAACAAATTATTGTAATGAAAAGTAAGCTTTGTTTTGGTGGTAGCACAACGAAAGCGCATTTTAATGCAGAGCAGCTCCTTTAATCCGCTGGTGTATAACTGCGCAAAGCAACAACAACTAACTGAAGCGAAAAACAGCAAAAGCGCCTAGTCCCAGTCATACCCAGCGCCAGTGCCAGTGGCAGAGACGGAGTCAGAGTCAGCGGCAAGTTATAAAAAGCAAAAACGCACTGGCTGGCGAATGGAAGAAGCGAAAAGCAATAAGCAAATCTGTAAGGAAATTCGCAAAGAAAGAAAACAGAGAAAACACGCAAGTAAAGCGAAGCCTTTTCAGCCTTTTTGTACTTTTGACTGCAAGTTTAGTTGCTTGCGTGTGTGTGTGTGCATGGCTGTGGGGCAACTGGAACAGAAAGCGAACTGGCGAAACAAGTTTGCAAATTTCAGTTGAGCGCTAACGGTGGCAGCAAATAATGTTTTGCACAACAGAGGGAAGACACAGCGGTTTGGGTTAAAATGAGAGCACTATTTTTTTGGGAAGCAGGACGAGCACTGCTGATTGTTGGGTATAATATGCTATTGTTGTTGTAGTTATAGTAGTGAGAGAAAGAGCCTCGGAGACGGTTTGGAAGTTATTAAATTGGAAGCCAATTCCATGCAGAATTGAGCGCCACTTAATAAGAGAGTTTGGAGAGTTTTTGTGTACCAAACAAGTTTTCAAAACGCAATTTTTCCTGCCTTTCATTTGAATATAACTCATTTATGCATGTATTGTATATTATGCAGTTTTGTTGTTAAACATTACATTTTTGTCTAGCTTTTGCGTTAAGATTTGTTAGTGGTCAGTTGCTGCCTACAGAAACACATGTACAGCCATACATATGTGCATACATATATATATTTAAACGCTCGGCTTGTGCGTAAGTACTTATGTTCGCGCGTGTGTATGTAGGTGTGTGTGCATCTAATGTCCAATACACTTATCACACAGCAGGTGACAAAAATATTGATGGGTATCCATCAACAGCGGCGCCTGCATGCCAAAAGTTAATGATTGCATCACTTGTTGCAACAATAGCATCACCGCTCCCGGCAAACAGCCAATGTCCGCTTAAATGGTTAAGGAGAAATCGTAAAATTATACGAAATTAAACGGAAATCTTCGCATTGAACAAGAATCAAGAAATGTAATTAATAATCTTCAGCCGTTTCAACGGTACAGGGGCGTAAGATCGCTTAATATTGTTGTTATTGTGGTTATGTTTATTTGCGCGCTTTGGCTATTTAGAAGAAGACACGACGCTAGAGCGAAGACCCACTTAATAATACACATGTTTGATAATTTCGATTGTAGAATTACAAAATGTTTGGCTGCATTGGCTCTTCCACGAATTCGGGCTGTGCTGCGTGATCGCTGCTGTGTGGGCCGAAGTGCCCGACCCATTGTAGTGGTCGAATCCGTCTATTGTTCGGCAGTTTCACACACATACCACGAGCGCTGGCCACAATACTGGGTATTGCCCGGTTGCTAGTCCATAAAACGGCGTCTTTTTGTATTATTTCATAGATATTTCTCTCGACAACAATTGTTGCACGTTTTCGCATCATTAATCAAACGTCAATTGGACGCAGCCAAAGCAGCCTCGATGCGCGTGTGTGCATGCATAAAGAAAGTGCCAAGTGCCATAGTGTGTGTTGATAGCGATGATGTTGCTGTTGTAATTGTTGTGGCTGCTGTGGAATTTTCAGAAACTCAAGTCATTGTGTGAGAGACAAAGCGTGTTTGGTTCTTAATCTTCTATTTATACAATTTTTTGTTTTTGGAAAACACCACTGCATGAATATCAAAAAATATGAATATTTTGAAACCGAAATTCGCCAGCATCGCCAGCGTAGACTGTGCGGCGCGCACATCTCTACGGAAGATCAGAGTGGGGCGGCTTTTGTTGTAAACATTGTTTGTAAACATTTTATTTTGTTCACATGCGTGCCCACTACTAGCTTTTACTATTAGAAGTTGTTGTTGTAGCAGTGGTTAGTTGCAAATTTTACGATGCCACAACAAACGCTCCGCCCCGGGCTGCTGCCGCACAGCAGACACACTGGCTATATGCCGCGCATTGCCACATTTGATGGCGGTGTTGCACGGTATGTGTGCAACGCATTCATGATGTGCATTACTTGGTGGAGTAATTAAAACTGTCATTAAAAAATGTGGTTTGTTTGCTAGTTTGTTGGTACTAAACATAAACACAACCCGCGACGTAACCACATCAGAGAAACGGTGAAATGGGTGAATGGGGGAAATCTGTTTGATGAAATGCGGACGTTGGGGAAGAGCCTGGTGGCATGCTGGCAATGACTTATGACAAAAGGATGTTCCAATTTATTTGAACGTTTGTGCAATAAAATGTGGCAGCTACAAAGTTGCCGCTTTTTGTGCTTACCTTATGTATAATGCTGAAATAACAACAATTGTAACACAATAAACTAAAGCAAGGTGGCATAGTTTGCGCCATTTTTAGTTATGGATGAATCTTCGTAACGTAACGAACCTGCCTTGAAATAGAAGTCTTTTATAAAAACAACATTTTGGCCATACATAATTGCATAGGACTTTAAGACTGTTTTTGAGTACTAAATCGGTCGAAAATTTTGTTCAGGCGTGATGTGCCAGATAAATAAATGATAAACCCATATAAATTTATAGTAAAATAATTTGACAGGTGGTCATTGAAACTTTCTCAGTTGGTTCGCATTTTTTTTAAGCTATTGCATAGCTTCTATCGCGGGCTTTGTGAAGACTGAATCAAGAAATTCCGTAACGGAAATAAACCTAACACGATCACAAAGTATGCGCAAAATGTTTGCATAGTTTTAGGCGTATGTTCTTATATCTTACGCGGAACATATCAATTGAAGAGCAGAGTGATTCAAATAAATTAATATTGAAGATGCAATTTTTTAACGGCAAATAAAAATATAGAATTTAATAAAAAATAAATTACCTACCACACTTTTTGAGACAATATCTCATTTGACTTGAACAATACAATTGAAATTAGTTATTTCCACTTATCTTGGCTATCGATTTCAACATAAACTTCGCTGATAAAATATCAGAGCGGTTGACAATTTTTCTATGGAAATGAATATGAAAATTTTTCTATGAAGAATCCACAACAAAATATGGGGAACTTAAGTTCACAATTCTTTCTCGATTCTCTACTTTTTTCTTTATTATAAGAATACCAAGATCTTTGCGAATATTTTGATTACCAATATACCTTGGTGATTGTCGATCCAAGGACTTTTGACTGTTTTGACAGTTTAAATTTGCTGCTCTTATATTCATGCTTATTAAATTGCTGGATATACACACATATGTTTTTTCTATGTGAGCCTTCTATTGTAGTGAATGTCAAGATAAGTTACATCATTTGCTAAGATGTTATTCATTTTACTCTGCTGACACATTTTTGGTCTTAGTGATGTCGTATGCCTCTTAGGTCTTAAGATACATTTTTTTGTGAAAAAAATTCGCTTTGTTAAGATCTGGCAATGCTTTGCAGAACCATACAATAGTGTTGGTAATCATAACATTCCTGAAAGGCAAAATACTGAAAAAAAAGAACATTAGTCTAGGCATACATTCTCATTTGTAAAAGTTACTAGTTCTTTATATAACAGCAAACATTATTACTATTGCCTAACTATTATTTTTTGATAAAAATCGTCAAACGGCGCCGTTAAACGAGATACTTTACTCAATTTGCTGATTTTTATTATAAACACGTTTACTATACATATACATTTACACAAAAATAACTCACGAACGTATTTGTTGTTGCGTGCATTCATTTTTATTTATGTTGCGTAATAATTCATAGAATATCAACAACTAATAAGTTGACCTTTAATCGCATTCCATTAGATTAATTACATAATAAAGTGCATAACAAAGTTGTGTGCAATTTGCATTTCCACGCACTTTCATAAATTTGCAGGCATTTTTCATACGCATTAGAATACCACACATATGTATATAAGCTCAAACACAAGCACATAAATATATCAGTTTATATCAAACCATTTTACCACAATGTGCCCCTTTGCAATTGCAACATCAACGTTTCACGCAACCTTTGCTGTCACCCGCCTAAGTCCAAGCATAAATATAGGTACATAAATACTCTGGTATATATGTATATGTATTCTATATATATTCATATGTATGTATAAATTCATGCGCCCGAGTTGTTATTCGCACACATTATTTACTTGCTTTGTGCGTTACGCACTAATTTTCCGCATAATTTTTCACAAATCCAATTGCACTTTGAATTCTTCAAATTGACATTGCGTGCGTCGCGGCTCCTCTACGCACTTTTTACTTCTCACCGCCGACTGTCGCATAGCTTGTTGAAAGTTTGCAAAAACTGAACCATTGAACTTATGCACATACAAATATATAGATATACCTATATATATATATATATGTGAACATACCTATTCCATAATTGGCCCCTTTTATTAGGTATTAGACGCACTTTTTCGCATTTCCGACTTGACTGCAGTTGCATTATGTTTGACATGCGTCATTTTCTGCCACAATGGCCAAGGTAATTTGTTGCATGCCGGCGGACAGTCACAGTTCACGATTACCAACCACTATTGGCTTGTCTGGAGATAACATTTGTATCATAGTTATTATAACTAGTTAACTGGACGGACTATTTCTAAGGATTTCTCTCAAAACATGTGAATGGTAGACCGAAATTCTCCCTTCAGCAACAAATATTCCTTCATAAATTTTTAATCTAAATAATCCAAAATTACTTTCAATCAATTAATATAATATAAAGAAAACCTGTGCAAAGTAAAATATATTTTTATTTTAAGGGAAGGTCTATTTCTAGTAGGGGGTCATGCACTAAGTTTTCGTGACCATACAATCTCGAGACTCCTAGGCTTTTAATTGTCTGAATCCGTCGTTTCTTTGGTGCTCTATTTGTTTGGTTTCCATTGTAAGTTTCTATTATATGTGGTCCATTTTTACATTTTTCATTGTTTCTGAATGTTTTAAGTTTGGTTGCTACAAGCTAGTTATGTGATATTAAAGATTGTAAGCCCGCACATTTTATTTACATTTGTTAAGCATTGGTATTAGATATTTCTATATATCTCTTAATTTTTAGTTTTGGATATCAGCTATGGATCTAGAGAAAAATTATGACTA